TTTGAGTTTTTACCCCTTCTATTATCTTCAGGTAAAAGGTCATTCTTATGCTGTGGGACCAGATAGACAGACACATGCACAGAAAGAGGGAACTGTTAACATTGGGACACTGCAGGTACCAAGGAAGTATTTAAAACTTCCTGTTTATTATTTTCATTATTGACAACTATTTCATTCAAATGGTTTTTAGGTATTTAGGAGAAAATCTTTCTATTTTAAAGACTCCACAAACTAACTTCTTCAGTTCAGGGAGGAGGAACATTACAGACATTTCTTTGGGGCCTCCAAGGAGACCTCCAACAAAAGAAGGCAAACTAGACATGACTTTCCTATTATTTATAAGGGATACCAAAAGCAGAAAAAACCCACTTGAATAAACAACAACTCTTCAGGTTTCTCGATGTCTTAGAAAAAGGCAAAAAGGAGCACAGGCCCTATGTTATTTTCTCCTGTGCAATTAACCTGCAATAACATGGGTTAAATATCTACAGTACATTTGAGTATTAGAATCATAGAATCATTCAAATATGGGGCTGGAAGGAACCTCAGGAAGTCATCAAGTCAAGCCCCCTGCGCTGTGGCAGGACCAAGTAAATCTAAACCATCCCTGACGTGTGTTTGTCCAACTTGCTTTTAAAAGCTTCCAATGATGGGGACTCCACAGCTTCCCTTGGGAGCCTATTCCAGAGCGTAACTACCCTTATGGTTAGAAAGTTTTTCCTAATATCTAACCTAAATCTCCCTTATTGAAGATTAAGGGCATTACTTTTTGTTCTACCTTCAGTGGACATGAAGACATGGACATGCCCACTTTATAACAGACCGTAACCGGTTGGAAGACTGTTATCAGGTCCCCACTCGGTCTTCTTTCCTCAAGACTAAACATTCCAAGTTTATTTTTAACCTTTCAGGTCAGGTTTTCTAAAGCCTTTATCATTTTTGTTGCTGTCCTCTGGACTGCTTCCAATTTGTCCACATCTTTCCTAAATTGTGGTGCCCAGAATTGGACACAGTACTCCTGCTGGGGCCTCACCAGTGCTGAGTAGAGCAGGCCAATTAACTCCTGTGTTGTACATACAACATTCCTGTTAATACAGAACTATGTAAGTACCTGGGTACAACACCCCATCTATGCAGACTGCTTATTACTATGCAGCTCTGACTGCACACCTGCATCTCTTCCCTTTGGGGGCCTACGACCGAGGATCATATTAGCCATTTTTGCAATTGCCTCACAATGACAACTCAGATTCAGTTTGTGATCCACTATAACCCCCCGCTCCTTTTTAGCAGTACTACCAGCTAGCCAATTATTCCCCATTTTGTAGTTGTGCAGTTGATTTTTCCTGCCTTAGTGAAGTACTTTGCACCTGTCGTTATAGAATTGTGTCTTGCTGAATTCAGACCAATTCTAAAAGTTGCCAGTAGGAGCATAAGTGAATCTTCCTCAAACTTCAGTTACGTTTTGCTCCAACTTCCAGTTGGTTCTGAAAAGAGGCCAAGGTGGGGTTTATTGGCAGAGGAAGGGAAAGAGGAAGCATTTATTATTTGTGCAGGGACTGACTGTTATTTTATCTGGAGCAGTTCACTCATCCATGCCTGGGACACCCACAAACCCCAGCCTCTCACAAAGTCAGCTGTGGTCAACAGTGCAACAGCTGGATGCCAATGAAGGAGAGGTGCTGAGACACCAATCAGCAGCTGGCAGGGACCCCGCTGGAGCATCAGCACCTCTGTGGAAAGAAGAGGACTGAGCTGGCCAGCCAGGCCGTTGGGGCTGTTCTTTGTGTCTCCACTGGGCAGGGAAGCATACTGTGTCCCTGTCCTGTCTCTGTGGAGAAGGTGGCAGGAGAGGTGACCACCACTGCAGCCTCCTTCCACCCACAGCAGATAACTGAAATAGGGTGCAATGACTGGGGGATTAGATCGACAGGTCACCCCTGCTCCAAACCACTTCCAAAGAGACATAAGCTAAACTGGGAAACAGCACTCTTTTTAGGGACTAAGAGTCTCCACACAGATTTGTTCTAGTCTAACTATAGTGGTATAATTATACTAGTGTAGTTATACCAGTAGATTTCCCTATATAGATAAGCCCTTACTTCAGCCTGTTCTGCTCCTGTAACTCAGAAAGGAAGCCCTTCTAGCTTAATTTGCTGTGAAGCATAAAGTGAGATGGGTCTAAACATGTGTTGGCTGTTTATTGTTTTAAAATCATTTTCTCTAATCCCTTCTTCCATTTGCTACATAAACCCAGTTGTTCTCAGAAGGCCCTTTGTCACTGGATAGCTCTGGTGATATGCCCCCAAAGGGAAGAGATGCAGGTTTCCAGTCAGACAAACATGGCAATAAGCAGTTAGCATAGACGGGGAGTTGTACCAGACAGTTGCATAATTCTACACCATGACCAGTCATGGCCCGAGGCCTGATATGTAAGGGGGCACTGAGACACCAGTAATGGGACAGAGGTGCAATCAGTCCAGTAACCATGGCATCCATCATAAAACCCTTAGAATTTGTCTTAAATTTTCCTGGCAAGTGTGTAAGCCCAATTTCTTCTCATTCTTGCCCTCTTGAATCATATGAATGAGAGAAACCAGAAGGCATGTGTCACTTGCTGGTTTGAACTAGAGTAAATGGTGGATTTTCTATAATTTGAAGTCTATACACCAAGATTTGAGGATTTCAGTAACTCAGCCAAAGGTTCTGAGCCTATTACAGGAGTGGGTGGGTGAGGTTCTCTGGCTTGCAATGCACAGGACATCAGACTAGATCACAGTATGATCCCTTCTGGCCTTCAAGTCAATGAGTCTATGTGGTGCTTAGCACAAGCAGCGCCCTTGGGCTTTGCCCGGCTTGACTCATCAACAGTTTGTGTCTATACTTTTAACGGTTATTGTTAATGATGGTGGTTAGTGATGGGAAAAATAATGGGAAAAAATCACAGCTTGGTCCTGGCAAAAGCTGTTAAATGTATCATGTTAGATCTACAATAACCTCCATAAATTCATGGCTCACATGATTGTCTTGTTATAAATGTTATTTTTAGGCTTTACAAGGATGTTATACCTTCCTTTAATTGCTTGGATGCATAAGATTGCAGGGGAGAAATCCTACATATTAAAAAGTTGATAAAATTGTATAAAACTGATACACTCAGATGCACACAAAATCCCCTCTTGCAAGTAACATTCCAGGGGGAGCTATTTGCTGGAATTTCAATCTGTACTAAGGACCTCTCCAAACTGTTGTCAATGCGTGGTCGTTCCATTGACTACAAGGATTTGGACAGGCCGTAGATGTTTGCCAGGTGTAAATAACGATATTGTTACTTCCACAAGGAAGCAAGGGCCTGCTAATTTCATTTCTTTAACACACGCTGGTGCTGTTTATATAATATTCAGTATTATTAATTGCAGCAGACGTACTTTAAATATCACTTCGATCAAAACAAGATTTCTGCAACTCAGTATATCACCAGCACCCTAAATATGGGGATTGTCTAGTTCCTCTTTGTGTGTGTGTGTTTTTTGTCTCTAATGATGCTGAAATCCTGAATGGCACTATGCCGCAAAGATGCTTTACTTTCTCCTTGCTGTTTTTGTGCACCGGATTGCTGCAGGTAAGAAGTAAATAAAATCCAGGGATAGTATAGAGGGGTATTTTCGAGGCTAGGGTAAGGTTGCTTAATTCTTTCTGTTATAATATTTTTTTCCAGCTCTTTTTTCTGAAGCGTTCTAAAGCTTTCATGGATTGCAGTAGAAATGTAATATTTGGTAGGCAAACAGCCCTGAAGCCAGGAAGGTTCTTTTCTGCTTCCATGGAAAGCCATTCAGATTTGGTTAAATTATAAATGATCGAAAAGCCCATTTCACAGATGTGTTTTCCTCAGTAGAGCTTGATACGGCATGTTGCTAAAAACAAACAAACAAACAAAACAAAACCAAAAACAACCCAAACATTCTCTGTTCACTGCATGGCACAGAGAACTTTAAACACTTTAAATATGGCAAATTTCTAAGTAACTGAAAACAGGGGCATATAAAAGAATGTGTCGACCAATCTCAAATTAAAGTGTCACTACCAGCGGCAGCACCCATAATGTCTAACTAATTTTAACAAAGGGAAGAAAGCATGTGGTTTATATTCTACAAAGTGATACATTCGGAACCAATAGGAAGTGAAAATCTGTAAGGTGAACTCAATTAAAATGTAATATGGACTAAACAACCACAATGCCTGGTTAATTTTAACATTATTATTACTAATAAGTATAAGTATTAATTATTACTGTATGTAAACACACGAGTCAAGCCTACGGTTTTACAAATCAAATGCAGAGATTATCGAGCTACTGGTACAGAGTCATGAAGAGCAATTTGTTTTATATATTGATTTAATTGTGGCCAACATTATCAGTAATACACCAGGCAAATGAGTCAAATGACTTTGTATTGCAACATTATAAGTTATGAAAAAACATACAGAATCATCAAGAAATGTGAAAGGCTTTATGCAAAGTATCTCTCTTTCAGAGTGGGTATTTCTGCTGGCAGCTCAAAGTGCTGACAGAGAAACTGCCACTTGAGGAAGGTCTCAGAGTTGTGTCAAGTTGGCCAAGGACCACACCGCAGGGAGGCCTGTGGGAAGTGGCCTGCAGACGTAAGTTGCTGATCAGAGCTAAACCGGCAGGTGTTCGTTATATGTCCCAAGATGTTTTGCACAAGACACGGTGGCCTAACGTGTCTTACACAATCTGGGAGGGCACAAGATATTTTGCACAAAGACCATGGAATTTTGCAGAGACAGAGTTGCAAGAATTCCAGCATCCAGATTGTGGTTGGACAGTTCAAATCTTCCCCAGAAGCAGGGGTCACTTTCTGATTGGCCCACAGCAGCCTTGCCAAGAAGAAACCAAGCCCTGAGAATCTGTATAAAACAGGCAGTTTGGGTTAAAGCATCCATGTGACGCTCATATATCTGGATGAGAGAGACGGCAAGTGGGACTATCATCACCTGGCTACAGAGAGCACCCCCAGTCTGGTAACTACTAAAGTCACTTCCTTTATGCTCACCCTATTAACACTTCCTTTAATGTTCTGTCTAGGGAGACGGCTGTGAGATCCAGAAAGAGAAGAAGAACACGGCTGTCATAACCCCTTGAGTGAGTGAACTATCTAAATTAACTTTCTAGCGAGCTCGAGAGATGACTCAGGGTCACTGTGACGCAGAACTGGAGAAGACGGCTTCACGCCAGTTTTAATGGATAAGTGGCACAATTACATGCATTTTGTTTGCCCCAATGAAAACTTGGTTATTGTAAAGTTACTTGAGTTAAAACCATCTACAGGTTAATTCCAGTTATCCAAATTCCCTGTATCCAGAAATCCTAGTTATCTGAATGCACAGTATGTCCCCCCTGTAGTGGTGTGTTAGCTAATCACCCACTGATTAACTAACCATAGGGCTCTGGGAACTGTGATTTGGGAGGATTTCTGAAGTTAGGGATGATGGCGGTGAGAAAATGGGGAGAAATAGGGGAGGAGAGAAGAGGTGATGTGAGGGAGGGAGAGAGAGAGAACTGGCAAAAAGAAAACAGATGAAAAGGTTTAGGTGGCGACTAATACAAATAGTGAGGGGTAGGGCTGGCTCGCTCCCTCGGATTTGTCAGTGCTGGGAAATGCTCAAGCAGCTCCAAGGTGGCTGTGGTCTCAGGTGGCTAGTTAACCACCTGAGCCCCTCTGCCCTCCTTTCCTTTCTCATCCGTCCTTCCTTCCCCCTTCCCCTCCTCCACCCTCCTCTCTGCCTCCCTTTGGGCTCTGTCCATTCAGCACCTTGGGGACCACCATCACCTTAGCATGCAGGAGCGAAGATTAGCTCAGCCCCTTCCCCTCCTCCTACTCTCTCTGGCTTCTAGCACTAAATTCTCTAGCACTTCTTCTGTGTGTCGAAATGCCCAGTTATCTGAAAGTCTGGATGTTGCCCAGGCCGGTCAGATAAATGGGAGTGTGATGTAATAGAATGGGTGATGTATACGTGTATTTCACTAACAAACTGAATCTTTGTTGTCTAGAAATTAGGGTAACTCAGCATGTGATTCTGAGTGTTGAAGTCAGGAAATATGTGTCAAAGGAAATGTTTCCTCCATATCAGATAGCTGAGAGACACCCTGAGTTTAGCAGGGAAATAGCCCACGAAAGCTTATGCTCAAATAAATTTGTTAGTCTCTAAGGTGCCACAAGTACTCCTTGTTCTTTTTGCGGATACAGACTAACATGGCTGCCCCTCTGAAACCTACAGAGTTTGTCACTGAGGGAAATTCACAGCTTCTTTCCCAAAAGGAGGAAGAAGCTTTGAATTTGGCTGGTAAGCTAAAGATTGTTCCCACTATCTGAATATTGAGTTAACCTTGAACATTTAGTTCAAGTGGGCTAAGAACAAAGAATACTGGTAAAATTCCAGAGAAATTCAAATAGTTTGAATCATTATCTACACAAAGTGTGAAAACTAATTGCGATTTAATTCTTAGTACTTAAGTAACTTGTCTGATTTTCTAAATAGTAACTTTAGAGCTATTTGCTAAAACTACCAGAGGGTGCTCCCTTAATTCCACTGGGGAACACTTTTGATTAGAAATGGATAAGAATCTGCACTAAAGGATTCATAGTTCCTGTTAGTACCAAAGTCAGTTGCCCAACATAGTAAAGAACTAGGGTAAAGTTTGCCTATGTAACACAACTGTGATAAGGCCTTGAATGAATTTATGTGACTTGTTACCTTTTAGTATTCATTATTATACATTTCATAAACATGCAACAGAGAGTCCTGTGGCACCTTTAAGACTAACAGATGTTAGATTCACCCATGAAAGCTTATGCTCCAATACATCTGTTAGTCTTAAAGGTGCCACAGGATCTCTGTTGCTTTTTACAGATCCAGACTAACACAACTACCACTCTGATACTTCATAAACATGAATATCCAACCACCTTTCTATTACTTTCTGTAATTTCTTAATTGCTTTCAATTCTATCTCGGCTAATAAAATATATAATTGTGCATAATTCTCCAATAATTCTTATTTTGGCTAAGGAAAAAGAGATTAGCATGAGAAACTCAATTTAAGACACTTAATTAACGTTAAAATTAGTCACACAAAATCTGTTTTTTAAAATATATTTTCCATCACACAATCATATTTCTCTGAAATATTCCTAGGAGCTGTTCAGATGTATAGATAAAATCATTATTGTTATTATGAGAATACAGAACACATATTATAAACGCCATTTGGATTAAAATAATATTTCTACATAGTGGCAGATTAATGCACAGGTCTATGGGGCCCATGCCCAGGGGCCCTGCCCAATTTGGGGGCCCCCGTAGGAGAACCAGAACCAGTATAGAAGTGTGGGGTCCACTGGAACTGTGGCCCCATCCCCTGCTTCTCCTCTTTCCTGGGGATCCCACCCCCTGGCCAGGCCAGAAGCTGGAGCCAGGCCACAGTAAGAGGTACCCAGGGATCCTGGGCCGCTCTGGGGAGCCCCAGACCCTCCACCTGCCCTAGGCGAGGGGCCAGGATGCTCAAGAGCAGCCCCTGGCCCATGTCCCAGTCCCCCAGAATGTGCCACCCAGGGCAGGTGGAGGGTCTGGGGCTCCTCACAGTGATCCCGGCTCCTTAGGCGGCTCTGACCACGGCGCAGCTCTGGCTTCCAGCCTGGCCTGGGGGGCGGGACCTTGGGGGGGAAGTGGAGGAGCAGGAGGCGGGGCCGTGTGGTGAGGGGAGTGTCTGTGGGGGTCCCAAAATGTTCTTTGTGCCCAGGGCCCCAGTAAATTTTAATCTTCTTCTGTTTCTACAGCTCAGCATATCCCCAATGTCCTATAAATATAGGGACTTTTTGCCTCCTCCCTGTCTTTCTGTCTCTTCTCTCCAGTTACGCTGAGTTGCCGGCTGACCTTCAGCAATGAAGATCCTTTATCTGCTGTTTGCGGTTTTCCTTCTAGTGCTCCAGGGTGCACCAGGTAAGAGGTAAATGAAAATGGTGGATGATACAGAGGGATATATGGGCATCTATACTAAGATTGTCTAATACTGTCTATTAGAAATGTGTTTCTGACTTTTCGCTTAGGCACTCTAGCGCCTCTGAAGTTTGCAGATAATATGTGAAATTTGGCAGTGGAATTGTCTGGATGTCAGGAATGTGTATTTGCTGCCCCCAAGAAAATACATAAAGATTTGACTGAATTATGACCAGTGAAAAAAATATTGCCATCATGTTTTCCTCAGATCTTTCTGAGGCTTGCTGCTTAAACAACCCTATATTCTCTCTGCACTGCACGTACTCTTCCTCTAACAGGCAATCACAGAACTGAACATCAGAATAGTGAAGAAATTGGTAAAGAAATTGAGGTGTGGCCAACTTTTGTTCAATACACCTGTTGGTGAAAGACAAAGTGCATAGAGTTGGGAGTTAAAATGTAACTTCTGCAGCTGGCTAGTGTTCATAATTCTGTGCCTTTCACAACCTCTATTATAAAGTGAGGCCTCATGTCCAACTGAGAGGTTACACAGCTGGGAACAGAACGCAGATCCTTAAAGCGGCAGCCCTACGTCTCAGTGTCTTAGCCCCACTCTCTCTAAGAATCTCACTATAATGTACTTGGCTGCTTTCTAAGAAATTATATTATCTGAAGGTGGGACAGAGTTTGCAGACATGACAATGTATCTGTTTAGATTGCACAATAACCTTCAGTTAAAAATGTTCTAACCTAAATAGTCTACAAGCTTTGGGTGTGCACATTGGCCCTTCATGTGTAACCAAAATCTGGCAACTGGTCGTGAAGACATTATTTCCAAGTGAGATTTCAGAGAAAAAAAATCTGTACAGCGTCTCACAGACAGGCATGATTTGAAACAGGAAGGGACTTTTTCAAGCTTTTCTATTTCAAAAATGTGTAGCCATCCAACCGAGTTCTACCCTACTTCACCAAATTGCATTTGTGATACTGCCTGGCACATCACTGCTAGAGACAGAGGGAATCAAACCACAGCAGCAGCCGCTCAGGGAACTTGGAGGTCTGAGCAGCTAAATGCTTTCCATCACTTAAAGGCAGAGGGCAGCACAGGACACCATGTGCTGAGAGCTACAGTTCTCAACTCTGCAGCCCAAGAGCCAGCGCCCCTGTTTAATTAACTTGCTGCATTCTCTTCTTAGTGGCAGCCACGGAATGGTCACAGCACTACACCCATTTCAGTAGCACTCAGGCTGTGATAAATGTTTGGACTTGAACTTTTGGGCTGATACGCTCAGGTATAAGTGAATAAGAAATGCCTGTCCTCTTGGGATCACAGCGCCTATTTAGCTCTGAAGAATGATGGACTTTTTTTCTGTGTGCAGCATTCTCCCAGGCTAATAATCCCTACCTGCAATGTAGACTCCGTGGGGGCAATTGTTACTTTAAGAGATGTCTCTTCAATTCTAAAATCATTGGCATGTGTGCTAGACATCATTTCTGCTGTCAAAGGTAAGTTCAGCATTGCACAAGGTAGACATTGCAATGTGAACAGAAATGCCTGTTCCCCTCCTTCCTACATCTGAGCTGTTGTTTAATGCTCTCGGAGGCTCAGCACATGGGGCCCAAGGGCAGGGCCAAAGGGAGGCTTTAAGCCACTTTTGAGCTGCTCATATTCTAGGCCACCTGAGGGCTGGAGTGGTCCCAGCATGTATTAGAACCACCCTAGTGGCTTCTCCTACATAGAACAGCCCAACCGAGGCTGCACATGTGCTATTCCACAGCCAGGAGCAACCCAGATCTTCTGCCGTGCTCAGTGCTACTGGGATTGCCCCCAAAGACCTGACAGCCTCCAGCAACGTCTCCAGCACCACCCCAACTCCAGTGCTTATAACAGGGACAGAATAGATCTATTATGGCAGCCGTGTGCTGCTCATGCTTTGGGAGAATTCCCTCTCCCCCCCCCCGAGCCCCTTTTACAGACTCAATATTCTGCCATAGCTTCATATACGGGCAGGCGTTGGGGCCCAAACATCCCATTGTCTACATTGCTTTTATATTTTAGAATATAGAAATCAAGCAGGAAAAACAAAAGTCTGGAGGAGAGAGTGTGGGGGCTGTGTCTACCCTGTAGCAGTCTGCAGGAGAAGTGAAGGCAACTGTTAGAAATAGAACATTATCTATAACAAATGGGATACAAAGGAAATAGCAATCAATCTAAATTGGAAGTAATGAAGTGCAGCAATATGAAAAGGGAAGAAACCTCAGCTGACAGGTGTAAGGACAAGAAAGCATTGTTTTAAAATTTCAGGAAGAAAAGAAATGCTTACAATGGTATAGACCCATTCCTAGATGTTGAAAAAAATGTTCATAATGAGGCAGAAAAGGCAGAAGTGTTCACTAAATATTTCTGTTCTGTATTTTGAAATCAGCAGGTTGATGTACTGATATTACATGAGGATGGTGTCTTCTATCTAGTCCATTAGTAACTAAGGAGGATGTTAGCATCTACTAGGGATAAACATTTTTAAATCAGCAGAACTAGATAACTTCTGTCACAGAATCCTCAAAGAGTTAGGTGAGGAGATCTTTGTTCCACTGATCATTTCTGATACATTTTGGAATGCTGGGGAAATTCCAGAAGATGGGAAGAGTGATACTAATAGGCACAAAGACAGGCAAGATGACCCAGGAAACTAGAGGCCAGTGAGCTTGACATCAATCCCTGGCAAAATAATAGAAAAAATGACTCAATCAATAAAGAATTAAAGATTAGGAATATGCCAATGAACAGGGATTTTAGCCTATTAGGTCTTGCTAAAGAAACCTAATTTTTTTTTGGTGACTTTCAAGGTTAGTTGATCAATATAACTGCCAGGATGTAACATAATTATATTATTGCAAAGAGTTTGACTTAGCACTGCTCAAGAATCTGCCTGAAAACCTAGCACCTTACAATCTCAGTAAAGCACACATATAGAATAGAATAGAATAGAATAGAATAGAATAGAATATACTTGTCAATGAGGAATCATCATCTAATGTGGTGTCTCCAGTGATTTGATTAAAGTGTTTAAGTATATTTACAGGGAGAAAATACCAGATTCTCAAGGACTTTTTAATCTAGCAGAGAAGGCAGAACAAGAACCACTGGCTGAAAGTGAAGCCAGACAAATCAAGTTAGAAATAACAGAAAAATGTTTACAGTGAGAGTGATTAACCATTGGGACAAGCTACCAAGGCAATGACGTATTCTCCATCTCTTGGTGTCTTCAAATCAAGGATGGATGCCTTTGTGGAAGATAATCAAATACAAGTTGCTGGGCTCAATGTAGGGGTAACTGGGGGAAATTCTATGGCCTATGTCTTACAGGAGGTCAGACTAGATGATTTATTGGTCCCTTTTGGCCTTAAAAGCTATGACATTCTGGGAACAAAGGGCTGTTGTCTGCTGAGAGTCGTTATTGAGACAGCTTGCAAACTCTAAAGCTACAGCTTAATAAAAAAAGAAAAGCCTAAGAGTTTGGAGTTTCCTGACACCTGAGGGTGGGTGTAAGTTTGTGTGCGTGTAAGGAGGGTACAAAAGTAAATAAGGTAAAGTATTTTCAAACTAGTTAAATCACAACTGTCAGAATATTGTAACTGGACACATGTCCTAGTCCTCCCTCAAGGGTCATCCAGATGGACCTAGTGTGAATAATATTTGAGTGGAAACTAACAAATTCATTAAAATTGTAGTCAGACCAGCACCGTGCAGCATGTCACTGGGCTTCCTTACAGTATATGTGGGTCCAGACGCTGCTAATATTAATGCATAGGAGGAGCTACGTTAAAATATAGTAGCTTGTGTATGAGAGCTCACAGACCGGGGATGCTGTAACACATCAGTGTGCTAGGCGCTATCTTGCTCAACAGATTGGGGAATGAAGCAGACATCTCCAGAAGGAAGCTCTTGGGTCTCTACAGATCGAAGGACCAGGCTCTGTAGCTGGGGCTGTAACAGACTCCCATTCGCTGTAGATCAGGCACAAAAGGGACACGTAACACACGCTGACCAGTGGGTGACACAGGCATATTATCAGAGTGCTCACTCTTCTATATAATTAAAATGGCACCAGTCTACAAAGGATTTAAAACCATTTAAGGGCTCATGATTCCTTCCATCCATAAAGCAGCTCAGTACAGAGTCTTAGCCCTTAACCAAGGGAGGCAGTTGTAAAAATCTTGGTGATGTCAATGTGAACACTATACATATTTTTTTTTGAATGGTTTAAACATCAAGGTTCCAATTAAAATTAGACTGGCCACATTGTAAATCTCTAAGCTTTTTTACTTCTGCTCTGCTTGTTTCAGACATTATCTGTCATAAATTATACAGGACGCCCTGTCTGGTCCTATTAATGTACAGCTCCCTGAGAGGCAGTTGGGAGGGTGAGAGATTTCCCCACCTACTAAAACACCAAATATGCAGGTTGGGGGCAGGCAATGTGAAGCTGGGAGCCCCTTTGGCCTGCAGAGTGAGAACCAGGGAACTGGGCTGGAGTACCCATGCTTGCATCTGCTCGGCAACCCTCCTGGCTGATTCACTGAGCATGCCCAGATATCCATGCTATTACCAGGCCAGGCTGCTGATATGCCATTGCCCTCAGAACAGAGTTAACCATTAATAGAAGTGAAATTTCTCTTTTTCTTTAAGAGTAAGTTATTTATCACCTAAATAATTATCTATCAGCTGTGCCTAAGGTGTGTTTGATAGAATAACTGTGCCTGGATGAGCATCGTGCTTTTCTCCACTGTAGTTTTTATAGGAAGCCAGTTCAGCTGTTTAGATACATATGAGTATCCCCCTTAAAACTCTGTAATAGACTGTTGCAGTAGGAAAAATGACTTCCCTGTGCTGGAGTTAACCAGGGATCCCTTCACTCACCATAGAGTGACAAGGCAATTCCTTCGCTGCCTTTCGATTGGAAATCAAACATCATAGTATTTCTGTTCTAAAGGAAAACATCCAAAAATCTGATTCTCTTTCCTTCATACAGGCGACTTTTTGACTGATTGTCTAGGCAGGATCTCTGGGAATCTGGGAGACAGCCACTTCCTTCTAAAATCATCAGATCCTGCTTCAATGGAACACTGATGTGCTGTTTATTTGGGCTGTAAAAAATCTTGTGAGTTGGAGAAATTCCAGAAGGGATCCATTGTATCACCCATATATGATTTGTTACTCTCCTTTCAATAAAAGCAAGTTGGTTTCAGATAATATTGCTGAAGTGTGTATGGGTGGGAGGCAAGGGGGCTGTTTCTATCATTCATCTCCTTTAGAATTCCAACTTGTTTATTTTTTTAAATTTAAAATAAAATAAAATTCCCTAAAAATCTCCCTATTGCATGTTATTTCCTCACCTGGGTGTTTATAGACCATGGTCCACACATCTCTATCGGTTTCTGTGAGCTCCTCTGGGTAGATCTTTAATTTTTACAACTTGTAGAAATCCTTTCAGTTTGTGGTGTCAGGTGTCATAGACTGACCGTACGGTGTGTAACACCCACTGTGGAGCGGCATGGCATCTAGACCCCCTCCCTATGTTCCAAAACTCATCATCCGCACTGAGGACCACAGAGGAAATCAGGCCAATCTGGATTCCGGTGTAAGTCCTGATTCTCCTTCCTGGTACACAGACTGCTGTAAATCAACGGTAACTCCACTGAAGCCACCATCATAGTTACAATGGCATAAAAGTGGCACAACTGAGATCAGAATCAAGCACATTTTTGTGCACAAAAGGATGATATGAAATTTGCTAAAGGAAAAGTTTTTGATGATTTCAATGGAACATGATCCCCCCAAATTCATTTCTCATCCCATCCCAATGGTTCCCTGAAACAACAATTTACCATTGTACCAGACATCAGAAATTTCAGGCAGATTTTTTTTAATCCACTTGATCTGAAGAAATCTACATTTGAATTTTTTTATCCTAGCCTTAATTAGGCAGAGGTTGTCATCTTTCCATCCAGGGCCCGCTCTAGGTTTTTTGCCGCCCCAAGCAAAAAAAATTTTGGCTGCCCCCCGTCCCAGCCCTGGGCTCCTCGCCGCAACCCCCTGCTGCCCCAGCCCTGGGCTCTTCCCCCCCACCCACACCCCCTGACGCCCCAGCTCTGGGCTCCCTCATTCCCCTCCCCCCATTGCCCCCCCCCACCCCTCCTGCCGCCCCCGCCCTGGGCCCTCCCCCCCCCCCCCCCACCTGCACCCTCCTTCCGCCGCAGCCCTGGGTCACTGGTAACTTGCTCCCACGGCAGGTCATTCAGCAGGAATTTTAGATGTGCACAGAACACAGACAGGATTGGTTCCCATATGGTTACAGAACTGCAGTGAAGTGGAACAATTTTCAGCTTGTGTGACTGGAGGATATCTGGATGCATATTATAAGACTATCCTACATAAATGAAGAAAAGTTGAGGTGCCTTTATTATTCTTTTGTTCCTCTCTTTCTTTCTATGGGGAATTTGCCAATGCAATATCATTGTCTTCCTTTTAAACAAACAAACAAACAAACAAACAAACAAACAAGGCAATGGCTGTTGAAAATAGCAATTCCAGTCCTAATAACCACTGGGAAGCATTTCTTGCTCAATTTTATCCTACTTTTTCTACAGCAAGTTACAGTGGATCAGTATATTTGATTTGGGAGAAATGAAGTAACAGCTGCCCAAACTGAGCTTGAGCACTCCTGAATTTTGAGATGTTCAAATCTGGAAGGCAGGTGCTGGAGGGGGCTGTGGCTCTGCGGCATCACAAGAATTCCCTCCCTGGGAAGCCTTGAGAAACCTTTCACCAATTCCCTGGTGAACACAGATCCAAACCCCCTTGGATCTTAAAACAAGGAGAAATTAACCATCCCCCCTCCTTCCTCCACCCTCCTTTCACCAACTCCTGGTGAATACAGATCCAAACCCCCTTGGATCTTAAAACAAGGAGAAATCAATCTGGTTCTAAAAAAAGAAGGCTTTTAATTAAAGAAAAAGGTAAAAATCATCTCTGTAAAATCAGTATGGAAAATACTTTACAGGGTAATCAAACTTAAAGAGCTCAGAGGACCCCCCTCTG